TTAATTTTGATTGGATGCAGTGGCTTGCCACCAAATCCAGTGAAATTCACACACCCAAAGCACAGAAATATCTGCTCGATACACCAAGGTACAGATAGGGTTATCATATCGGGACCTTGGCTAGTGGAGGCATTAAACTGTATATATCCATCCTTGTGCAGTGTGTATTTCTAGTGTAAATGAGTCTTATCATGTGATGCAGAATAAAAGTAGTATTATTTATTTGTATTTTTCAGTTGATCATGACTGTTTTTGCAATATTGAATGTGGTTGATGTTTTGTGTCTCACTGTCTAGATGCATACTAGAAAAGGTGATATAGAAATAATCGACCTTTCATCAGCCATGTGGCTACCTGTCTGTACATACCATACATACTGGTGTATAAGTCAGGTCCTTTTGCAAGCAACATAGACCCTGATCTACTTTCACATAATGCATTATCTCTGTTGTTTGTTCTACTGATTACTCCCAACGAACTGCATATACACAGATCTGATGACACATAATGTTATGGTAGATCTGGATCAATGAAGATTGCAGTTGGATCCGACTTTTACACAGTTACATATGGTACATATTTTGATGTTTGATATTTGTACACTGCTATACACTTGTTTTATAAACTGAAACTAAATTTGGTTTAAAGCTTTATACATAAAAGATCTTACTTCAAAAGGTAGAATCAAATTTAATTACAATTTGGTAGATGTTGTAGATAACATTGAGAAGGTTTTAGAGAAATATCAGATTTTGTCAATTGTTTACTAAGTTACAGCCCATGAAAATGTCAAAATGTGCATATGCTTTTACCTCACATGTAAATACACCAATGATTAGTGAGTACTTTGGAATGCTAGGAACAGTCATTAATGAGTTCTTTTCTGAATAAAGATTCTGAGACAAATGATATCAGTGATCTACAAATACTTCATCTGCCATCAGATGGATCAAAACCTGTATTTAGGCCTTATGTCTCTTCCAAGCAGTCCCAGCTAAAGCTGACAACCTAAATAAGAAGGCAGAAACCATAGAGCAGTTACCATTTACTGTTCAAACTGTCTTAGGACAATATTTAAAGAAACAATTTCAGGAATTGAATAATCTGAAGAAGATAAACATTGAATGATATGTTAAAGAACCTGAAGCGGTACATTGTAGAAATTGTACATGGCATGGAATGTACAAATTAATGATTCGACAAATTACACATTCAGATGAAAAATTTATAATGACAGTTACTTTGGTTGACATTGTGTATATATAAAGAATACAAATCATATGGCAAATAACAGTTCTTTCAAGTGCACCGGATCCAGCAGGGGATTGTGTGTCAGAGATTGATTAAAATGAATGCAATAAACTGACAACAAACAGTGCAAATCTAGTATCTAACTAACCTGAACACCTAATACTCTTAATGAGTTTTTTTCAAAGGCAAATACAAAACATAGACAAGACAAATAAAAAAACAGACAAACTGTTGTGTTTGCCAACTTTACATGGTTGTTTCTACCGGAATTAAATTTTTAAATGTATTATATTTCAGCTAATTTATTTCAACCTTTTGCAGATGCTGGAAAATTTGTATTGACCTAGAAATCAATGAGCCGTAACAAAATTTGTTATTTTATGAATTTATGAAAGCACAAATTATATCCCAGGTATTTCATTATTATAGTAGTAATTATAGGCTATTAACCAATTTAGAGAATTATTTGAAAGGAAATGTGTCGGCTGCAAAAAATAATTTTATTTGTGCATGGCTGTCTTTTTTTTGTCTTCTTGGTTTAAACTCTTTGGTTTCAATGTTCAAAAACGGTGTATCCAGTAAGATTCCTTTTCTTTCCTGGTTTCGAAACTATAGTTGGGGTTGTGAGCAATTGCAACAAGTGTTATATCACTGAAAGTGTGACCAGTGGAGAAGTTTCTGCAACCAGGCTTCTGTACAGCTTCTTTGTCATCCAATCAGATCTATAAAGGTTGATCACTTTGTGTAGCTTTTCAGTTTCCCTAACATACTGAAGGCTACAGATCTTACATGTGATGAGATAAAATTACATTCTCTGTTTTGCACGTTTTGTTTGGATTATGTATGTTTAGTTTTTCTCTAGTCACTCTGCTAGAAAATGTCCTGGTCTCTATCATATGTTGACAGGTTTTGCACCTTTTATTGCCACAGGGGCCAGAATAACTAGGGTGGTCTTGATTCGTGATTTGCATTATCTTCACCATGACTAGGATGTCCTTGATGTTTTTAGGTCTTCAGTAGTCTATTACAGGCTTGTAGGGATGATTAATTTTGTGCCTCCAATGATTCCATGATGGTCCAGTGTTTCTCAATGATTTTACCTACTTTGGAGCTTTGGAGTTGTCTGGATGGTAGATCAGGATAAATGGTATCTTATCAGCCTTTTCCTTATTTCCATATTTTAGTAGGTCATCACAGTTTGTTTGTTTAGCCCTTTGGATTTCCTCCACAATCAGGTCTTTGTCGTAACCTCAGTAAATGAAATGTTTAGATAGCTCATCAGGCTTTTTTAGGAATGTTTAATCTTTGGAGCAAATTCTGTGTATCCTCAGTGCCAGGCTATATGGTATTCTGTGTATCCTCAGTGCCAGGCTATATGGTATTCTGTGTATCCTCAGTGCCAGGCTATATGGTATTCTGTGTATCCTCAGTGCCAGGCTATATGGTATTCTGTGTATCCTCAGTGCCAGGCTATATGGTATTCTGTGTATCCTCAGTGCCAGGCTATATGGTATTCTGTGTATCCTCAGTGCCAGGCTATATGGTATTCTGTGTATCCTCAGTGCCAGGCTATATGGTATGTTCCTGATGAAGTATTTTGGATGACAGCTGGTTGGGAGGAGATACTGGTGTTTGTTGATTGGTTTTGAGTAGATGTCTGTATGGATTTTGTTTTCTACCAGTCTGTTTGTTGTGTCTAGGAAAACTTGGAAGTTGTTTGCCTTTGATATGATATCATCCAGACTTTCTCTTCCATGTTTCCACTTCAAATCATTAATATTGATAAAGCTTTCAAAAGGACAGAAAGTTATTTGCTTGAGTTTTGCAGAATATTATGGCATCATAATTATAATTATTTGTAGTACACTTGTAGTATACACTTAATTACTAAGATCGTTTAGTATATAGAATTACCGGTATTTTTGTAGTGTTTCATTTACAATCATATTTGAGAAATGGGTTTAAGCCTTACATAGATAATCGTGTAGATTGTTAGTTTGTGGTCAGAATTAATTTTATAATTTGATGTTAGGTTACATTAAAGTAAACCAGTACATTTATGATTGTGTTATGTTAGAATTTACACATGCTTGAATTATTAATTTGGAAACATGGTTGAAGTATGTAAGATTAGTTACATATGCATATATTAGAGTATGGATTTTTGAATATTTGCATACTTTGTATGAGTTGTAAGGTAAAGAAATGTGTCTGATTATTGTGATATTGTTTAGTATAATGGGATTAGGAATATGTACTGTGATGGAATTTATTGATGTATGTATAGGAAGTAATTGATACAGTGCTGTATTATGACATTTGTTTTACCATACAAGAACATATGGGTATCTTGATGTAAACAATTGCATGACAAGAAATTTAAGTGCAGTTTTCTGATATATGGGTATCTTGGTGTGAATTAATGTGTGACCAAAACTTAACAGAGGTTATCTGATGATAGGCTGTGTGTAGTGTTAAATGAGAGGGCTTAGGAAAAAGATTATAGCATCATTGTGTTTTCACGGAAAGCTTTTTAGGGGATGGAAAACTTCCGATTCCATTGGGTCCTAGCTCTTAAAGAGTTGGAGATAGAATTGAGACCGTACCTGATACAGTCAAAGTTGAGAGAAGTGTGATCATGGGGGAGAAAGTGGAGGAGGAGAATTAGTTTAGAGAAAGTCAAGGAGGAGGAGAAAGAATTCGGAGAAAGATTGGAGAGGAAGAGGAGAATGAATTGGGGAAAATAAGAGTGAGAGAAAGGATACAACAGATGAGTAGAAATACATGGACAGGTGGAAATCAATCTCAGGGTCAAGCAGAAGAAGTGTAGTTGGAAATTTGAGTCATTTGATTATTGAATTGTTATTAAATTGTTATTCATTGAATTTCAACCATTTTTTTGTATGTTTAACCTTCTGTCGACAATGCTGACTGGGGGCTCAGATCTCTACATCTGCATTTCACTAAATTTAACTTCCAACAAAATAGAGCCTGGTGAGACTTAGTAGTTTAAATAAAATATTGGGAACACCCCGCCCCAACCATATAGTTCATCACAAAGCATGCAAGGTAATTTATGCAAGCCCTTGAAATACCCTTAAATATGGTACTATGAGTTTTGCATGAATGATGGAGGTAATATCTTAGATTTACCAGAGTGTGTCATCTCTCTGTGTCTTTTGACAGCAGAACTCATTTTGCTAAATGTTTACAATCTAGGACATTAATTACTGACATATAATGGCAATTGTCTATTATCAATTCAATAAAAAAAATGTTTGAAAGTTAATCAGTGTATACATTTTTAAGATTATGGAGGAAAATTTTTTGATGGTAATTTAAATTGTTAACCTTTGTAGAAATGTACAATTTTGTAGTACAGTTTTATTGAAGATTATTTTGTGCATGTTTTATTTTAAATGTAGAATTCAGTGTTGAATGTCACATTATTGATCTTTTCAGTGGTTTTACTATTCACTAAATCATTGAGATTAGTAAATATGCTATTTAATTGTTCTCCAGTATCAATTATTGAGGCCAACTATTCACTTCATAACTTTTAACAATTACATCTTTTGCCTGTTCATTTGTTATTTAATACATATGTATATAACATACAACCAGTAATGGTTAGAAACAATCCATCATAGTGAAATACTGTTATACGTATATAATCTATCACATTTAGATCTGCCTTTTATTTATTATATTTCATTACATTTCCTTCATTTTAAGCAGAGTTAATACTTCTCTGGTTGACTAAGTTGTTAAAGCATCTGCCTCAGATGTAGGAGGTCGCAGGTTTGAACCCTGGTTTAATCAAAGACTTACAAAAATGGTACTAGCAGCTGCCTCACTAGGTACTCAGAATTAAGAGGTTAGTGTTAGGATTGGTCAACCTGGTGTCAGGATAATGTGACTGGGAGGGATATGATGCTACATGTCTACAGCATGATGCCCCCATGCTTGACATCACTATAAAGTGCCACACTGCAGACATCATAACAAAATGAGTGACAAATTTTTAATGCTACATTAAAATTCTAGTTTTCATGCACACTCACACACACACACACACACACACATTTTCAATTCTCAAATGAATATTGTTACCTGATTGAGCCATATTTAGTTATGAATAGGTTTTTTCTGTAGCAAACTCTATCTTGACTACTTAGCTTTCAATGTTATCATAAGACCTTCATCAGAGGAATGAGGTCTGGACTGGAATAACATGAATCATACTCCTCAAATAACACTATTTTGACAGCTGAAATAATCATGTTTTGCATTTTCTATATGGAGTAGAAATATAAACTTCAATGTTGCTGCTGATCACAAACTTTATTACAGTTGACTTCAGCATTTTCAATGAGTACAGTGATGTGTACTAATATCTGTATTTGAGCACATGTCTTTGTTATCCTTATCTTCAGACAAATTGGGTTGTACTACTTTGTGTACTTTACCTATGTATATTAGCTAAATGACTAGCCCAAAGCAGAATTTGACACAACATATCACCCAAGCTATTGTCAGCCAATGAAGTAATCTCTGAAAGGTGGATGTTTATCTCTGACCATCTTAACATTTAATTGCCTTGTATCTTCTGTATGCCAAGAGGATAGGTTTAGCTGAGCTTTGAGAGCAGGACTGTTTACTGTTATATACATGTACCTTGTATGAAGTATATGCATTTATCATGGTCCTCAAAAAATATAGGAGGTTGTTTTGTTGAAAAAACTTTGGGGCTAAGATTTCAGACAGAAAATCATGTTTTTCAAAATATGACCATATTTTAGGGTGGGGATGGGTGTCCAGAATTGTGTTTTTCATGTGATAAAGCATTCTATATCAGGTATGATTTTTCCATTAGCAACTCCAAAGATACATATGAATGAAAGTAAAAACAGTGTATGACAAATCAAATTCTGAAATTATTTGCATGTAGGCAAGTAAACATTCAAGGAAATTTCAGAGATCTGCATGTGAAGGGCAAATAGATAGAAAATCTAACATGTGCATCCCTTCAGAATGAATATTGTGCCCAACTTTGGAAAATGTTATCTTTTGCACAAACACAACAAATTGCCTACTACCAGTGGGAACATATGCAGGGAGCTATACCATAACTGATATACCTCAGAAATGCTGCCCAGTTTGTGGAAAATGCCATTAAACATTAATTGCTGAGAGTTTTAGATTACTGTTCATAAGTCAGTGTATGAGACTGTTCTTTAAATGTGGACAATGTGGATGGATTTGCAGTAAAAATAATTTAAAGTTATTAATAAGTATGTAAAGTACAGGAACAATCCCTAATTATTAAACTTATTATTACACTGCTTTCTGACAGTAGATAGGCTTTGCAGTTTCGGTTAAGTCACCACTGTGTCTTCAGTAAAATTGTTATCTGTTATTTTCCTTGTGCATACTGATTCTGTACAGTAAATTATGTGAAGAAGAAACTCTGTACCTAAGGTTGTTAATGGTAAGAATAAAAAGATGCTGCATTCATATTACAAATGATACATGAGCAAACAGCAAATAAAATGGTAAAGTAAATGTTACACTGAGGTAGAGTAAGAAAGAGAGAGAACTAATTACAACAAAGAGGCCTAATCTTACACTCAACCATTGCTTTGTGGAACAATCTTGAACAAGATACTCAGTGGAGCATGGCTTAGAGTTCTTTGAAAAAGTATTTATGTTTTGCAGTTTTTTAAAATGTTATGTATATGTAATTTAATTATTTGCTTGTTAGTTTTAAATTTTATTCCATGTTAATGTAATGATAACTTTATCTACTGGATTTGATATTTTTTTTCTTGTTTTAGAAATTCAGTTCATTTTTGTTTGACCTGATAAACAGCCAGTAGTAAAAATTTTGTATCTAGTTGCTAACTTTGATTCAAATCTAGTAATGGATTTTGGTAAACAACTTTTTAAATTTTTTTTTTCTTCCTAGAGTAAAGATTCAATGATTTCAGTTAAGGCTATACTGGGGATATGTGATGTTAGGAATGTAAAAAGCTTCTACCTCCTTCTGGAAAGATGACCACATGACCCTGATTTGTGAATCTGTTTTTCGTCTTAACTTAGTGTATAACAGTTTTCTTTATAAGAATTAGCCAGTTGGGCTTTGAGCCTTTGACACTTTTAGGTGTTGAGCTGAATATTTAATTTTTCCCTGGAGAAATATACAAGTGCTCATACATAATTCTTGGACAAAGACATTCACTGAAAAATATTCAGAAAAAATATTCAGAATTCCAAACAAATATTTTTTCTGTGATTCAACAAAGAACTGTTGACACATCAATACAATGCTGACTATCAAAGACGTCATTGCCTTACATCTTGAATTTCATCGTGATTTTGAACTGTCATTCACTTATAACTTTTTATTGATAGGACTTCTAATTTTTAATTCTTGGATTAATTTTGGATTTGATTCATAAATCTTATATTTCTTTTTATCATATTTACCTTGTTTTTCTAGGGAAATATATTATTTGTTAAATTTTACAAAGTTTGTTTTCTTCACTCTTTTCTTGTTATTTTGTTTATGAGCCTAGACATGTAATAAGAATAAATGTTTATATCCAAATATCATATCTAGTAAAATGCCAAGCTTTATTAATTGAACACTGAGTATTATCCATATTACATTAAGACATAATATAAGTTCATTAAAAGCTGATCTTTACAATATTTAACTTGTTGACACCTGTTTTTCTTCCTGCAGTTGGGCTGAAACCACCATTCATTTCTTTGTGTTCGGTCCTAAGTATAGTCAGCTAAGAACAGAGCTGATGAGAAAATTACTCTCAGCGCCATATCCTGCTGTAACCTTAGATTTATTGCTTTGAAGAAAGGGCAATGGAAATGAAAAATATAGAATTTGTCACGATGTATACAAATATATAACCGATAATGCACGTTATCAATAACTTACTCCAATTGTGAATGCTGTCATTGTCCCTTTTCTCTTTCCCCACCCTCCAATTATTTTTCAGTATTAGTATCAGTTGTCATATTGAAATATGTTGTAATATTTGTATTATGTTGAGAGAAGACTTAATTTAAATTGTTAGAACTTGTTCCTGATTCCATTATATCATATTGTGACATTAAAATACATTTAAGCCAAATATAAAGTAAATTTTGCTCAGTGTCTTCCTTTCTTTGTGTAATCATGAAGAATAAGATGGTAATAATGGATGAAAGGGTTGTTTGTTATTTACATCCATATGTAAACAGTGTTGACATAGATCTGCCTCATAAAATTTGCTGGCAGATTAGGGGCTATGCTGTTCACTATACTTATAATTTTAAACAAATGGCAAAGACCCTGACCCGCCAATGCATTATTTTTCTCACCCATTTTTTAGTTAAATTAAAATAACCCTGCATGTTTTCAATATAGTTTGCAAAATCAAAACACAGTATTCATCAGGCCTCTCACTCTCTATAAAGGTCATCTGGTTTTTTACTCTTTTATGAAAATCTTAATAATTATTAAAGTTGAATCTATCATTATATGCTGCTCTTGGAAAAAGAAATAAAGAAAAAAGATTTATTTGCTTTGTTCTGGAAGTATTTCACATTATACATCTGGAACAATGTGCTATAGTTTTGTAAATACCACACATTAATATATGTTAATGATGGCAGTGGGATAACCTGTCAATCCTACATGCACAAGTTCTACTCATGAGAGAATAGAAACAAAATCATTTGATATTATTACTCTATTATCACATTTAATCAATGAAAGTTATATGAAAATAATAAGTAATTACCATCTTTTATGCGGATAACTTTTAACATTCATTCTAGTTTGGAAAAAGTTCTATCATGGTAGGCAGCAGTACAGTACAATACTGGGTATTATTCTGATGAAGTGTGTAATAACTGAGATTTCTAATTAAAGATTTTCTTGGAAATTAATATTTTCTTTGGTAGAAATATGGCAGGTGTTGCTAATGCAGTGATATGTTACATGGAAATTTTGTAGAGTAGCTTGTGGACTGATGAATGAACCACGGATTGATATGTGAAGGAGTTTTCGTTTGCAATTACCTTACAATGTTTGATTCAGCTGGGGCTGGTTGGGGGTGTTTGACAAAGTTTGGATAATGCAGGTCTGATATAACACATTTCTAGTTGTTGCTATCTTTGTGGAAGCTCCTGAGAATTTGCATTTTTGTAGCCAGTGGTGTTTGGAACAGTGTTTTTTTGTTATAGTTCATTCCACACAGCATCACATTTTATCTTATCTGTAACTCAGTAAATTTTCAGGTCAGCATAATGAATGAAGCTAAAAGTATGTAATTCATTTAACACAAAGTATTTTAAATTAATTAAGAACATTTTGTTACATTTAATAACACTGACCTGACAATTTACTGAATTACAGATAGCATAAAATTTGCCAAGCAGTGTGAAATGTGTTACAACCCTGTAGTTGAAGTGTGTGTGTGTTAAGAAATGAACTCTGTGTAAATCTTTTTTTTATTTCATTAAATATAATTAGTATTGTGATTATGTTAGCATGGGTCTAATATGTTGTTAGAAACGTCATGTTTACTTAAATCACAAATGTGACTTATGTAAGCACGAGCTGTGTATGATGGTAAATACATTGCAAGTAAACATTCAGGAATAGCTCTGAAAATGATCAGGCTTTTCTAATGTCCAGATGCATTGCGAAATTACGTGTCCTCCGTGCGCGTATGATGAAATGACGTATTAGCTTTGTTTATGTTTAGTTATTTGTAAGAAAGTTCAGTCACAGTCACAGAGTAAAAGACAGAGTTGTAG